GGATCTGGGCCTTCAGCTGTGCAGAACGTTCAATCTGCCAAGATTTAGAGAAGGAAAAGAAATCAATGTAAAACCAATCACACAGCATACTTCAAAAGGCACAATTCTCTCATCGGGCTGATTTTCTTCATCAATTTGGTCAATTCTCGGCAGCCGGACACCCATCACCCCCGGGGTCCAGATGAAACAACAACAGAACCCACTAGCAAGTTCCACACCTCCTTTTTCACTCCTCTCGAACAACAGCTACTCCAGCACAAGAGGCAGACGTCAGAAAGAGCATCAATACTGTTGCATCACAGCGGGGGAATCAGCTACTTTTACCAGGGAGCACCAACAGGGATTGGAAAACTGCGTGTTTGGGGCGGGGGGGGTTTACTTTCCTCTCGGTTTTATTACTATGGGGAACCTAAGGTCACACAACAGCTTGAGAGTTTTCTCCAAGGACAAAGAACACTGGGGGAGTAATCAGCAGACTGGGGGCTCATTTCTGATGCCACCGGCTGACGGGTGCCGGTGTGGCGCACACCGAGTCCCCAGGCCCACAGAGCAGCCCGCCCAGATGCCTGGGTGAGCCAGGCAGTACTCACTTCACTTTGCAGCTGCTTCTGCAGGTTCTGCCTGTGGATCTCGAACTCCTTATGCTCACACACGATAGCGTTCTCTGCTTTCTTTAGTTCTTTCTGAAAAGCCACCAGCTCTGGAGAAGGCTGAGCCAGGTCTGTGAAGGTAAAAAAGCCTGCTCGTCACCAGCCTCACATTTTCTCGTTTCACCTAACAAAAGCAGCTCAAGAGGCTTTACGTTGTTCTTCCCTTTGTACAGGATAGTAATTAAGGAGACTAAGAGCCATCTTAACTCACCAACTTCCCAACAAAAGAATTACTTTAAAAAAAGTTTATTTAAGTTTACTTATTTTGAGAGAGGCCGAGCACGCGTACGCATGCAAGCACTGAGGGACAGAGACAGGGAGAAAGAGAGAATCCCAAATAGGCTCCGCACTGTCAGTGCAGAGCCCGGCGCAAGGTCTCCAACTCATGAACTGCAAGATCATGACCTGAGCCAAAATCAAGAGTTAGTCACTTAACCGACTGAGCCACCCAGACGCCCCAAGAGAATTTAATGCACGTGACTGCACACTTTACAGCTCTCCAGGATTGTACTCCCAGTAAAAGAATTCTTTCAAATCCAGAAATTAACATGAAAGCCCACCAATCTGCCCTAGTACACACAGAAGGCACAGGAGGAACCTGTCAGAACCTGCCAACGACTGCCCCAAGGTCCAGTCCGACCTGGGCATCTGTCAGCAGCACTCAGGGTCCAGGCAGAAAGCAGATGGTGTCCCAGTTCGGGTCATTGGAAGATCCTTTAATAAAGGGACTCACATCGGGTAGCCACGAAGGACACTGTAGTTCCCCGGGGTACCGGGGCCCTGTTGTCAACGCTCCTAGGGCCTGGAGGGTCAGGAGGGGAGGAATTCCCAGACCCGGAGACCGCGAGCAGGTACAGAGCCCTGAGAAGCCAAGGCCTGGGCTCCTGCCTGGCTGAGGCCCAGGGCCCGCC